ACCCATATGTAACCCAGGTTACCAACAGAAACAGGATTAAATTAATTAATTAAATATGCTGAACTTATAGTTTTTCTCTTTCTGTTTTGCAAATTACCTTTATAGCCAATTAGAATACATTAAAATATTTTTTTTACCTGTAAAAGCGATCTAAAAGAGTTTAGAATATCATGTGACGTCTTTCCGGTTCCGATCACTGACGCGGGTAGATTTCGCGCGCACTCGCATCGGCGGAGCAGACGAGAGCAGACGCAGATTTAGATTCTCTCTCTACATTAAGTTGTATTGAACTGGAAAATAAGAGATTTTTTGATTTAATGTTGAATTATATGTGTCTAAAGACAATATAGAAGGAAGTGATGCTAGAAGAAACCGTTTATGTGAGTTAAATATAGTTTAATTAGTTAATGATCGTGACGGAGCTGATTACAAGCAGCCTGGCTAATGTGTAACTAGCTCCATTAGGAGATCGTCTGAAAGGAAACGCGATTAAAGTTAAATGCTGAAAAGAGAATAAGCAAAAGGATTGAGTGAAGAATTTCTTCGCATTAAAAAGATTAAAAGTTCATCTGGTTTTGGTCAGGTTTTTTTTGTTGTTGTTTGTTTGTTTTATTTTTCCTCCTTTACCTGGATTGGTGCCATCGTTGTGCTCCTGTGTGATCTGTTGATTTGATGCTGGATTGGGATTGGAGTTTATTGGATTCCGGATTCGTTCTAACTCCTGTGTTCGCTAAAGGGGTTGGGACTGGCGAGCCATACGAACCGAACTTCAAATTGTCATTGTGTGAAACTGATACTTGTTGCCGATCAGGACGGTAGGAAACTGAACTACAAGCACACACGGTCGTTCAATGATTTCTTTTGGGAAAAGGATTCACTCACAGAGGAGAAACTGAGTGACAGACATTTTGTTGTTGCTCCTTGAGATATTTTATATTCACTAAAAAGGTGAATATACACATACTGACTGTTTTTTTTCAGGAAAAGAAAAGACTTTTAAGAAACTGAATTTATTGAAAGAAAAGAGGGAACTGTGAAGTGATTACAAGTGAACTGTTTTATTGGTTCGTTATTTCATTTATTGTTGATATACCAAGTGGTAATAGGTTTGGGTTTGTTTATTAGTTTTTTTAAAGGCACAGATTAGAGAAGTAGAATACATACACAAAATTGAGAAATTAATTCAGAAAATAACTTCTTTAATATTTTATTTCATCAAGATTGAATTCTTTACTTACAAGGGAAATTTGTTTTACTGATAAAGAGTGAAGTTTATTTATTTTTTTTTCTGAGAAATTGAAAAGAGTTGAAAGTGAAACCTGTGAAAACATAGGATTATTTTAGTTATATTACATCAATAGTATTGAGTAAAGGTGGTTATACTTACCTAAAATATACTTACCTGTTGAGTAAATTCTGGATTTGAAACCTGAAATCAAAAGAGAAACATTTGTGAAACATTATTTTATTATTTGATATTGAATAATTTTGTACCTTGTGACAAATTTTATTTTTGTTTCTTATGATTTATTTGTTGATAAATTGAGATTTAACACTTGAATACAAGACAATACAATCAGTTAAAAACCTTATTCGTTGTGTGAGTGGTTCATTATTGTTGTGACACCCTGGTTCTCTGCAGACGAATCTAGGCTTCTGATTTCACTGGTCCATATTCAAAGCCTTTCTCAGGAAAGTGTTACACATACTTAATTGAAGAAGTCCTGGTAACACTTTACAGAACATGAACAATGATGTATTAATATGTAAACTAAACATTAATTTACTATGAATTAATGATAAGTTAAGGTATGCTCGAACTACCTTTAACTACAACATGAGTCACATGAGTTCATGTGTGAATAACGGCTACCTTAATTACTTTTTAGTACATGATTGTTTGTTAATTAATGTATTAATTATCACATTAGTTTATGCTTAATTTAACCATGATGAACTCATGATATGTTAATGTATTATTATGTTGTGACTTTACTTGGAGGGACACATCATCATTAACCCATTCTTAACTACTCATGAACTCCTTATGCACGTCCAACTAGCGAGTTTACACTGAATAACAATAGAAAAGTGTTCTATCAACAAGAACAGGAGTTCATGAGTAGTTAAGGATTTAATAGTGATGTGCCCCTCCAAGTAAAGTCATAATATAATTATACATCAACAGCTCATTAGTTCATGTTGGTTACATTTAGCTTAAACTTAAATGTTAATTACTACATTAATTAACAACATGTACAAACAATTAATTAAGGTAGTCGTTATTCACACATTAACTCATGTGACTCATGTTGTAGTTAAAGTTAATTCATGATTAGTGCATACTTTAACTTATCATTAATTCATAATAAAGTAATATTTAGTTTACACGTTAATACATCCCACATAGCAAAATATATCTGGCCCAGCTCTGGCCCACACAATCAGCTTTTACTTGGCCCACATGCCGCAGTGAATTACGGTACATGACTGGACCAAGTCTGGCTTCCGGGCAAGGGCCAAACACGGACCATATCTGGGCCAGGTCTTAGCCAAGTTAGTAACCCATAACTGGGCCTGAACTGGGCCAGTTATGGCACATGAATGGTCATTGTCTGGAAGCCAGACTTGGTCCAGTCATGTACCGTAATTCACTGCGGCATGTTGGCCAAGCAAAAGGCTGATTGTGTGGGCCAGAGCTGGGCCAGAGAAATTTTGCTATGTGGGCCATAACTGGCCCTCAACCGGACCAGATCAAGATAATATTTTGAACCAAAACTGAGCCATAATTAAACCATGTTAAGACCAGTCTTTAACCAGAGAGCCCAAAAGTGAGCCACACCTAAGCCTAATCCACATGAACTAAACCTGCAGCCAAACTAAACCCTTCCCAGATCAAATCACAACAATGACTGTTCTGAACAATATTTATTATTTCACATTTAAGAAAACATGACAAAACAAGAGAAATCAGCATACTGTAAATCTTTAACATCAGAACACACAGCATTTTGCACTCTTTTAAGTTGCAAATCCCATATAAGCAAGTTCTTTAACCAGTTTTCTCCTGATTCTCCTTTCGCTTCTGTCTCTCTTTCCTGCCACCATCCCTATCCGGGGCCAGATATAGCCATCTTTTGATGGTTGAGTCAATGTCTTTTTCTGAGGCTTCAGATGTCAGGCGGTTTCGTCTCACAGCCACTGAAACAGATATGTAAATGTTTGAAATTAGCTTTTTTATCAACAGTTAATGTGGATATTGGATTTTAAAAAACAATTACATTAAAACTCAACCAGAACATATTGACAGACGTGCTTTTACAACTATACAGACTTTTAATTGAAGCAAATAATTTTAGTAATATGGCTCCAGGAGAAATTCAGTCTAAGTTCCTTTTCACAAAGCTGTGTGCAATTTAATAATTAGATATATTTTGGCACTGTTCTTTTAAATCTCTGCTTTAGTAAAATGCTATAATTGGTTCAACACTCTTTGTTCACCAGCAAATAAGGACAGTAAGGCTGCATTTACACTGCAGATCTTGATGGTCAATTTTGATTTTGTGACTGTCTGATTTTTTTGCTGAATTATTTACATCGTTTTTTTAAAGTTACTCATATCTGATTGTCTGCATTTACACAGCACACGGCAAAGATGCAATGACCATGAAAAAAAAAAGAGCAGGCGGTGATTGACAGATTAATTAATACAATTAATCGTGCAGCCCTAAGTCAAACTGTTATTTTTTATTTTTTTGTGTGTGTTTTTACTGTTATCGACAAGCACATTTTAAAAAAAAAACATTATTAGAAACATTAACTCTTGTATTTGTTGCTATTAGTTTTTCCTACTATGAAAGTCAAATACATGTTTTCTGCTTTTTTCAAAACATTTTATTTGGTGTTTAATAGAAAAAATAAAAAAAATCATAAAGATTTGGAACCATTTGAGGAGAGTAATTGTACACTAATTTTTGTGTGAACTATCCCTTTAAATTTATTTCTCTAACCTGTTCACTCTTTTTACTTAACGTTAATAGTTCAGGCATGAAACAAACTTATCTAAAATTGCTTATTTATTCACATGCACATAAAAGTAGAGAGCATTATTCATGTACTGTTATTGTAAAGTTACCGCCTCCAGGATACTGAGAGTTTATGTTTGATCTTTATGAATGGAGTATTCATATCGTCTCTGCATCTATGTACTCATCTGTCTGTAATAAATATCCTTATAAGTCTGACCTTTGCCTTCTGTATTTATTATCAGTGCACCACAAATTCAATATAGTGTACTTTGATCAAGACTGTTCAGTGCACGCTTGTCAAGTTTGGGTTATTTAAAACCAGTCCAGTGCAATCGCTTTGTGTGAATGCTGCCTTGTGCACTAAACAAGCAGATTGAGACCTCTTCCAAACAAACTCTGGTGCAGCTTGACTGAAATATGAACACAACACTGACCAAAGACATCTAAACAAACCAAAAATAGGACATGAAGTCATAAGATGCATAAAAAGGTCAGTTTTTGCATTGTTTTAGATTTGTTAAGGAAATTGCTTACATTGTTTAATTTGTTGGGGTAATAAAATAGAATAGTGCTGGAATCCCATGTGAGTCTGAAATTGATGGAAATCTAAATGCAGCAACGTATAGATTATATACTGTATATATTAGCATATTCATGTTTGTAATGAATGTAATTCACATGCAGAAAAGATTACTGAGATAATGGAAATCATTGTATATCATGTTGCAGCACATCCTATTTAACACTAATGCACATTCCAATAGGTCAGAAAAGCCACATTACATAGGAAAAAGATCACACACTTTATTTTTAGCCTTTACAAAGCAATTGCAACGTGTGACAAAACTGAAAAACCTCATTTTTTAACTAAATAAAGTGATAGACTGCATCAGAAGGGATTAAAAACAGCCAAATATAAAAGTGCAATGTAATGCATTAATCACTACATTGTAGATCCATTCAATCAGATTGTTTTGTTTAGTATTTGCTTTATTAAACAGTAATTTTGTTCTTTGTCAAATAGTGTCTGAAGTCATATCAAAATACTTTCATTCTTCAGACAACAAGTGTCATTGTGATGCGTTGGATAAAACACAAAATCAAAGGACTGGTCCAATCAGTAATAAGATAAAAATGAAACCAACTCAAACTTGCTCCTGGAACAACACTAAAATTGGCCAGTCAGATTTAAGGGATAGATTTAAAGTTTATGTTAAGCTTAATTTACAGTTATGGTTATGTGCATCTACATCATTGTCATCCAATATTAATCCATTCAGATTTGGGGAATTATTTAAAGTTAAGGGTAGGGATTAGGTATGGATTAGATTTTCATAATGAAATGATGGTCCAGGATAATTTCTTACTTGGCAGATTCACACCCACCAAAAGAAAATGATATAATCCCTCAATTTGAAATTGTCATAGAGTAAAACAGTAATATTACTTCTTAGGCCTGAAAAACAGCCTCTTGGTGAGCATGGATGCAAAGCAAGGCATCTGCTTTGTGCCAGTAGCAGAAAGATCATCGCATATAGAGCGCAATGAAACTTTTCTGTTAACAAGCGTCAGGATGTTGGTGAACTCCAGTTGTGAACGATAACGCCCCATGATTTCACACAGATCCTGAATATACCATGAGCCATTCAAGGGATCACGGAAAGAGCAAAATCCTTTAAAAGAAAACAAACAATGCAATTAATTTTTAAAAGTCTGACATTATATGGTAAAGTAATGGAGGTACATTGCATCCAAGTTGTATAAAGGATTAAACAACTTGGATGAAAAAGAACTAGACAATTTTGGTACAACAAAGCAAGGATATAAACACTGACCTTCAGTTGTTGAGTAGCACATAATGAAATCTGCTCCTGCTGGAAGGGTGTTAGACACTCCTGCATCTACAGCCATTTCATCATCACTGTCCTCCGCACTCATTGGAGCCACAGGATCATCCTTTTTGTCACCACGGCAAGCCTTGTTTTTCAAAGAAACACCGCATTTAAATGAGATCTAAATTCACACGTTGATTTGTGATGCAGTACATCACAAAGGACATTTTGCACAATTACCTGCCAGATGAAGATCTTGGGTTTTCCCACAAGACTACGACATTTATCCCCCTTGAACAAATCAGTGATTTCCGGTATTTTGATCTTCTTATCTCTGGCATAAACATGGCCATCTTCCCCATGACTTAAAAAGATGCAGACGAAACAGTCTGCGTCTACATGATCAGCAGCAGCGACTGAAAGCAAAAGAAAATTGTGGTCAATACAATAATAAAAATATATATTTTGGTCACTGTTTATGAAGATCCCACATAGCAAAAAGACTTGGCCCAAATGTGGCCTCATTATGGCACCGCTGGCGTGTTGTCGGCACTGGCATTCATAATATCAGCCGAATGTGGGCCATGCATGGCAATGATGGCACTGCATGCATGACGGCAAACTACATTTGGGCCAGTTGTGGATGGGAGGTGTGTGGCCCAGATTAGTGTAGTGATTGTTCACATTGTTTAGGTACAATTAGGTTGGGTTATGGGTCAGTTTTTAATAATAATAATAATAATAATAATAATAATAATAATAATAATAATAATAAACTTTATTTGTATAGCACTTTTCCAACATACATGCAACTCAAAGTGCCACACAAACAACAACAAAAGCATTAAAATAGACCACAAAAACTTATCACATGAAATAAAAACATTCATGTACACAAAATGTAAGTATATATTCACATGATCACACACACAATAGTCCTTACATATGCAGGCACACACCATACATTACATATATAAACCTACAACAAAATAGATAAAATGCGTACACCTAACACCTTTTGGGGTTTCTGGTTAAATGGTGGTGTTGATATGGTTACTTTTAGCTGAGAATCGGTACCAATAATAAACCTGTTTTGGTGCAGTTCAGGGCCAGTTAATGGTAGGGCCAGATGGAATCTGCAGATGTTTTTTGCTATTATTGCAGAGAATTTTAGTAAAAATCTGCGTATTTCTGCGGAATTATTTTGGGAGTGTCATAACTAAAACCTAATACAGTATATGAAATAAAAAGTACTACCTTTTTGACTTTTATTTAATGTTTAAAATGCAAATCCATTTAGATTCACTTCATTTAGTAAACAAAGCAAGTCTCTCATATAATATCTCTACTAAAATACAGAAAATATTACTGTACAAACTGCATTGTACAAAAATTTGATTAACATTTTCATATTAGACAATAATATTACTTTAATTAAAAAAAAACTGAATAAATCTAGATTTACACACATTTACTTAAGTAAATAAACAGAATTAATGATAGCTTAAAATCTGCTGATTTCTGAGCACAGATTCCATGTGGGTCTAGTCATGGGTAATAAATTGGCTGTGATTCAGACCGGTTATGGCCCATGTGTCTTTAATCCAGTTATGGGCCACTTCAGGACCGTCATTCTTTGTGGTACTTGGGCCGAAAGAAAAGTGTGTGGCCCGGAGCTGGCCCAGAAAACATTTGCTATGTGGGATAGTTTATTTACTTACTGCATATCAATATGAATAATACATTATTACAAAAATTACATCCAGATGTCAGTACAAAATAAAAATGTTACGTCTACATCAAGCCATTCATACACAACCTGAATGCAAAATCAAAAATCAAAATGGTTAAAAAGCTAAAATTACTAAAAATCTATAAAGCACAGATGCTGTTTACTGAAAGCCCCTGAGCATCCACATTATTTGCATTAAACAGTCTAATGCCCAAAGGTGTGGTGGAACAAGCATATTGTTTTTCCCTTGTTTTGTGCTGTTCTATTTCTCTGTTCCTGAGATGATAAACCAGGTTTTCCAACTTTTATTTAAGGAAGTGGACCATGAAGAGGATGATCACTCTGTGCCATTTTTTGTATTAATTAAAAAAATGTTAAACTTTACTAATCCTGCTTCACAAAAATGAAAAGTAATGAGAAAGTTAGACCTGAAAGAATTGTTGACAATAACCATTTGCAAAGGAAAACAATGGATATATGGAATTCAGCAGAAAACAAAACAAAACTTAAGATGTGGGAAAATGAACAATGCCTTTCGCCATGACAGTTAACAGAGTGACAAAGATTCTGTTGATGAGAAGCTGCATTTAACAATACTCAAATTTAACTCTTGCTTCTTAAAACATTTCAGAAATAAAAAATATAGTTGTTGTACCTTCTTTAATTTCCCTCAAAACTTTATCCCGACTATAATCATTATAAGCCTTCACCTCAAAATCCAGCTCTTCAAATCTTAAAAAAACAAACAAACAAACAAACAAACAAACAAACAAACAAACAAACAAACAAACAAACAAACAAACAAACAAACAAACAAAAAACATACAAAATCAGAATGTTAATTACAGTTCAGTTACTTCAATCCAATACAGGAAAAAAAATACTTGCTTTTATCGGCATATCTTGCATCAAATACCTGCTAACAAGGCTGTCTCTGTCTTTATCTGTGCCTTTGCGGGTTTTCAGTCCGAGCAGACTGAAATCTTTCTGGTTAAAGATGAGAGCCATTCCTCGCTTCGCGTGCTTCATATCATACTCTTGATTTGGATACACACTAAAGACAAAGATAAATAAGATGTCAAATAACATAACATTTAAGGCATAAATATATAACGGTATCATACAATAAGGTTTCATTAGTTAATGCAATCATAACATGAACAAACAATAAACAATACTACTATTACAGCATTTATTAATCTTTGTTGACGTTAATAAATTCGTTGTGAGTCCTTATTAACTCTTAGGGATTACTAATATTAAGTAGTACAATTTTGGATTTTAATGTTGTGTTAGAAACTCTTGAAATTAAAATTAACTAATCTTAATAAATTATGTACAAGTCTATCTTATTATTACTTAATATTAGTAAATAAATTGGCTAATGTAATTTTATTGTACAATGTGACAAATGAGTAACTCAATCTCATAACTGTACAATTACCAAATACATAGCATCTTTTTTAAGCAGTTACCTTTGATTACAGCCATCGGTTTCTGTTAAACTTTCTTTGAATGAGAAAACAAATTCAAAATCAACACAATTGCAAATTGCAAATCACTCAAAATTTGTACACGTTGCAAGTGAGCTTAAAGAAAGAAAGACATATGAACATACAATAGTCAACATTTGAAGTGGATCAAAATCTTTTATCAAAGTTGTCCTAAAACTTTTGGATAACACCCATTGTTGTCTTATAATCGTTTTGAAAGATCTGCATATATAAATAATGTATAAATCAATTCAATCAATAAATAAAAGGAGAAGTTACAAACTAAATTCAGCTGTTTGTCCTCACTTTTGTAAGATTAAGTATAAATTTATTTAAATTATTTTCTTTCAACCAAATGTGCCGAAATAATGAAATGAAACCTGTAGATGAGCATGAACTAGTAACATTTTACACAATTATTTTGTTCAACCAGATGAAGCCCTTACCTAATTCATTGCTCGTTGTTTCAGTTGCCATCATTATTGATTTGTTGTGGAGCATTCTGTGGAATTTATGAACGTTTAATGACAAACTAATCAACAACGCAGTCACTAATAGAGTACTTACTGAACCCAAACTATTCACTAAAGCGTTAACCAATCATAGCTCAGTAAAGTTGTGCCAATCACGTTGTCTGTCACGTTCCAACCCTTCTTTCTCTTTCAACACATACAGTACAATGCAATACAGTGTAAGCTACTTTTAATAATGTTCATCCTTTTTTTAAATACAGACATTTCTCTGGGTTAAGATGAGATTGTGTGACCACAGTCTGTGGTTGAGACAAATGCTTTTGTTTTCTAAGGAAAGAAAACAGTGGAAACAGGTTGGCTGTAAAACAGGTCAGCATTGAATGAAGATTTCATTGCTACATCCTGGTAGAGTAAAACTAATTAGGCTACTGTTTAACCATTGACAGGTTAAAAATGAAAGTAAAAATAAAAGTACTATGTACTTTCATTATTACATGTCTCACAGATAAACAAGTTAATTTTTAGTGCAACAGATTGTGATTACAGTACATATAAACTTCTATATACAAACCAAATCCATAAATTATAGTTTCACAGTGATCTGATTTATTGCTTTGATTACTGCAGCAATAACTGGGAATGTACCTAAGCCTAAGGTTTTTTTAAACAGTAAAAAAAACTGAAACAAAAATGATTTACACACTTTAACCCTTCCCCTTTCAAACCTTCAAATGGTTTATATATACAGTTGAAGTCAGAATTATTAGCCCCCCCGTTTATTTTTTCCTCAATTTCTGTTTAATGGAGAGAAAAAAAAATTCAGCACATTTGTAAATATATTAGTTTTAATAACCTATTTCTAATAACTGATTTATTTTATCTTGGTCATGATTCCAGTAAATAATATTTTACTCAATATTTTTCAAGACACTTCTATACAGCTTAAAGTGACATTTAAAGGCTTAACTACGTTAATTAGGGTTAACTAGGCAGGTTAGGGTAATAGGGTAATGATGGTTTGTACTGTAGACTTTTGAAAAAAAAATAGCTTAAAGGGGCTAATAATTTTTAAATTTTATTTTATTTAATTTTTATTTACTTTGTATTTTTCTGGGTAAAAATACTTTCAACCTCTCAAACTTGATAAATATCTTGAACAAAAGTCTTACTGCTTTGGACATAAATAACAGAATTTTTCTTTTGGAGCAAACTAATCCTTTACAAGCACACAAGTATGACAAGGGTGACAAAATGTTGCTTTTCAGGCACACTGCTGTAGTTCTGTGTCATGAATAATAATATAATTTTTTTTTAACAAAATGATTTAAATTGTGATTAAGTTGAAAGTCCATTAAATGTATTTACAGTTTTGGCAATTGGTTATTTTACACTTAGATATTCCTAGACATAAATCAAATACAATTAAACAGATTAATGGTATTTACACAACAAATATGACATTATTTTAACAACTACATATAATTAATTAATTCATTCATTTTGTTTTCAGCTTCGTCCCTTTATTAATCAGGGGTCGCCCCATGGAATGAACTGCCAACTTATCCAGAAATATGTTTTACGCAGAGGATGCCCTTCCAGCAGCAACCCATCTCTGGGAAACATCCATACACACTGATTCACACTCATACACTACGGACAATTTAGGTTACCCAATTCCCCTATAGTGCATGTCTTTGGACTTGTGGGGGAAACCAGAGCACCCAGAGGAAACCCACGCCAACACGGGGAAAACATTAAAATATATGCAAACTCCACGCGGAAACGCTAAATGATCCATCCGATTATATTATATTAAATTATATTATATTATATTATATTATATTATATTATATTATATTATATTATATTATATTATATTATATTATATTATATTATATTATATTATATTATATTATATTATATTATTATTAATTAACAAATTTATAACATTAGTTTGGCACAAGTAAGCCCTACCAATATTCCCTTAGTTATCCTTTAGGAATTCATAGTGTAATACTGGTCCGTTCTGGAGTCTAATATTCCTCTGCCACATCAACTAATACATTTAAATTATCTGCACAGATACATTTTTTAAGGAGCTTTATGAAAAGCCAGGTTGCAAATCAAATTCAGCAATTCATGCTGAAATTAGTTAATGTCTCATCACATTAACAAACAAATTAGACAATGTGAATCATGATAAATGAAAGCATTACATTACATTACATTGCTGTTCTGTTGCAAGTTTTATTTTTTCAACATTTGACTCATATTATATAAAATCACACGCCATAATCCACATACTGATTATTAAATAAATCATTGCTAATAGAAATACAGTGACCAACTAAAATTATTCTTTTGTTTGGGTTATGTCATATTTTATTTGCTTGAAGCAGCAACATTTGTAATGATCTGACTCACTGACTCAGTATTAATCAAAATAGCTTTCATAAATGTTTTCATCAGACTTGTCTGTCACACATTTATTTTTGGTAATGTACGCATTGACATAGTCTTCTTCAGAGCCCACGTCCACCTTCATGTAATCCTCCTCATAGTCATCATGATCCAAGTTTTTAAACTTTAATTCCACATTCTCATAATAATCCTCATCCTCATCATCCTCTTTATAGTTGTTGTCAGCAGATGAGCTTGCATATGTATTAGCTGCACCTATTGCATTAGCATATGAAGGACGATAATGCATTTAGAGATGTTAATAAAGACAGAAATAATCTTTTTTTTTAATGTAAAATTAATTCAAGGTTACCTTTTCTGAAAGAGCACTTCAAATGAGCTTCATCATTCTTCTTCTTTTTCTGTCTCCTCTTAAGAAACATGACGATGATGAGGATGGCCAGTAAGAGCAGTCCGGCTGAAAGTGCAGCACCAATGACAGCAGGAAGCAGAGATGCTGAGAGAGAAACACACACACAGTTTGAGCTCAACTTTTATTAGCAGCAGTCCAGCTTGTGTTCAGACTCGTACACATCAGTACCTGTGATAGTGATGAGCAGCAGTTCAGAGGCAGAGGAACGGAAGGAGCGTGAGGAGACACGGACTTCATAAACACAACTGTAGATTCCCTCATCTGAATATTCTGCCTCAGGAAAGGAGAAGGATGTAGAGATACTGACAGACCGTTGAATCCTGTGGATATTTGATTCTCTGAACAGGTAGAAAGAGCCTCCAGGATACTGAGATTTAGTGGAACAGGTGATAGTGAAGCTGTGGCCTCTGGTGATCACTGGCCCCTGAGGGCCCACGACAAACCCTCCATCAGGAGCACTGGGAGAAATACTGGGCTGCTGCAAGTGCACTAGAAAACAAGAAACATACACTGATGTGGTTACAGAACAAAAAGTACAAAGAATTTTATGAACTGCATTTTATCAAACATTTTGCAGATCTGCAGCATAAATAAAAAGTGAACACATCGACTGAACACACTCACCCACAGTGATGGTCACAGTGTTACTCAAAGATGACTTGACAGTATTGTTCTGATAAGAGTATTGACAGCTGTATTCACCCTGATGCGAGACGTCAACATTAAGGCTGAAAGTCACAGAAGACACATGTTTCTGTGAGGATAAAAGTGATCCGTTTATGAAGAGCTGGAATTCAGCATAAGCACTGCATCTCGGTTTAGGTGTTGAGCATCTGAACTGGACGATTTCTCCAGGAGAAACAGCTGAATGTGTGGAGATTAGAGCAAGACTCGCCATCTGCAGCTCACCTGCAAAAAAAACACACACACACACACACAAGAAAAAAACACAATTATTTAAAGCTAATAATGTTTAGTGATATATATATATATATATATATATATATATATATATATATATATATATATATATATATATATATATATAGTATATAATATATATTATATATATAATAAAGTATTTATTTAAAGCTAATGATGCTTACTGACAAATATTACAGTAATTTTTATAGCTTTTTTCTCCAAAATTTTGTTAGGATGTTCAAAACTTACTTGAACAAACAACACCAGCATCTTCACCGTGATTACAGTTATGTCTTCCCAGTCCATCGTGTGAACATTGAATGAGACTTTCTTCACTTCCTGTACAGTTAACCTCATCCAGCCAGATTGATCCACTGCCTGGACCAAATGTGGCACTATGAGGTGCACTGATGGCTGATCCACACTGTAACTGTCTGCACACCACAGCAGCATCATTCATGTCCCAGTTATCATCACACACGCTTCCCCACTCGCCATACTGGAGGATCTCCACTCGTCCACAGCATGAATCAAACCCATCAGCCAGTCTAATGGATGGCAGCTTGCCTTAAAAGAGTACAGCGGAAATTAAAACCATTAAAACACAGAACTACAGAGATTAATGCAGTAAAATACAATGTCAGTTGGACCTCAGAAAATCAGATTTCTCTTTACCCTGTGTGCAGACAACTCCTGCATCTTCATGGTGTCCACAGTCATGTTCTCCAAAACCACGGTGTGAGCAGTCTGTGAGTGAGGATTCACTTCCTGAACATCCAACATCATCCATCCAGATCTGACCACTTCCCTGGCCAAAAGAAGCACTCTGTGGTGCACTAACAGCTCCTCCACATCCCATCTGTCTGCACACCACAGCAGCATCATTCATGTCCCAGTAATCACCACACACGGTTCCCCACACACTGTTATACAGGATCTCCACTCTCCCAGAGCAGTCATTATTACCATTCACCAGTCTGAGAGAAAATCTTGCTAAAAATAAAAGAATGATAAAACACATATTTTCACATGCTAAACTTGTAGACATGCTAAAGTTAGTTGTCATGTCATGTAATTAGAATCAAACTTCTTTGATGAAAAGACAGTCTTTTACTGACCAGTTACAGAAGTTAGAGCACTGGCTGTTGAAATAAAAAAAAAACCTCCATCAGGGGCACTGGGAGAAATTCTGGGCTGCGGCAAGTGCACTAGAAAACAAGAAACATACACTGATGTGGTTACAGAGCTTCAGGCATTAGATTCAAACAGTGTAAATGATTTGAACAAAATAAAATT